TGGAGGCTGCAAGTCACCAATCCATAGTTTAGGTTTGTTTGCAAGGTGACTCCAGGCAGTGGTGGTGGTTGTAGAGGCTGGTGAGCAGTGGGCCAGGCACCTGCAGGCACGGCTTTCAGGGTATCCGTGTCAGAGTAGATTCAGTCCAAAGCAAAAAGGACCATACCTTTCAAGACCATTCTTCTGTGTAGGATCTTAAGACTATAATCCACACTTTCAAGAGAAATGCAGGTAGCAAAGTAGATCATACTTTCTAATATATTAGAGATTCAAGATACAACCCATCATAATCCTACTTAATTAACAAAACAAATAACTCAGGTATAAGGTCATAAGCAAAAAGAAAGAGGCTAGAATGCAAAATGCAGGCTATATGGTAGGAGGGTCCAACTAAGTATTGTTCATTGTACCACAGACCCCTCACTCTTCTACCCATTCATTGGCCATTTTATATGTAAATTATTAACTCCCTCTCCCAATCATTTTATCAAGCCAAAACTCAGGTTTCAGCCATTCAGGTTTACTGCAAGTGCCAGTCTGATCTGGTTGGATTCTCTGGAAGTTTGTCTCATCCTCACTTTTCTGATAAATTTAACTGAGAGAGCGTTATTCCTTGCTCCAAGGGTCTCTTGAGGTATGATCGTGTTAAGATTTCTCCTTCTGCATTTATTTATTCCTTTACCATCAGATATTATTTCCCCTTCCTTTCATCTGTCATTTTCCCCCCAAACATTTCCACAATGGGGAAGGATATCAGGCTCAGCTTCTGTGCCAGTCAGTATTGCAGGTTTCAAGACCAGTTGAGCTAGTGTTTCCCCTTTAGTCCATTTTCTTACATGTTGGGTAGGATGGTGTTGGTGGTTGTTGTTATGTGCCATTGGGTCGCCTGTGACTCATAGCAACCCTATATACAACAGCCCTAAATCCTACTCTATCCTGTGCCAATTTCATTGTCTCTAACACACCTACCCCCATTACCACAGTTACTAAATCAATCCATCTCATCAATGGTCTTCCCTCTCCTGTGCTGTCCCTCCACCCTCACAAGTATGATGTCCCTCTCCAAGCCTGATGATCCCTACTTGGAACAAGTCCAGAGTATGTCAGATGAAGCTTCAGAATCCTTGCCTACAAGGAGCAGTCTGGTTTCACCCTCTCTGGGACGAACCTGTTGATTCTCCTAGCAGTCCATGGTATATTCAATACTCTTCTCCAACACCGCAGCTCAAAGGCATCAATTTTCCTGTTATCATCCCTAGTCATTGTCCAGCTCTCTGATATATAGCAAGTAATTTCAAAGACCATGGCCTGTATCAGGTATACCTTAGTCTCCAGACTGACATCATTGCTCTTCAGTAATTTGGAGAGGTCTCTGACAGCAGACTTTCCCATTGCAATTTGTCTTTTAATATCCTGGCTGCTGGTATTGGTTGTGGAGCTAAGCAAACTAAAGCTGTTAACAATCTCAATCTCTTTACCATCTATCATGATGTAGGGTTACCATTAAAAAACAAAACAAAACAAAAAACACAACTACTCATTACCATTCAGTCAGAAACAATTCACAGCAGACCCTCTAGTGAGTTTCTGAGGCTATAAATAAAATGGAAGTTATGTCCTCTTTTGTGGTATACGCAATGGTGGATTTGAACTGCTGGAGAGGTGCTGCTTTGGCTGTCAGCACAGTTTCCTGCAGTCTAGGCTATCAGAGCTCCCTAGGCAGTGTAGTGTAGTATAGTATAGTATAGTATAGTATAGTATAGTATAGTATAGTATAGTAT